TATAGGGCGTGTGCGCTCGCCAGACAGACAGAGAGAGACAGAGAGACAGAAAGTGAGAAATCACCCCCCAGGGGGGATGGCCATGCCGCAATCCCTTCTCCTCCATTCTCCTCTCAGGATCTTGGGCATGCTTGCACACACACCCGGCATGAGTTTAAGCCCCCAGGTCCGGGACACGAACTGTGGTCGGCTACATGGGAGTTCAGAGACATAGCCATTATGCTAACTGCTGGTCCCAGTACCATACTGTCTTGATTGATGCAGCTTTATAGTAAACTGAGAGATAAAATTGGGCAATGTTTGTCCTTCAATATTGTTTTCATCTTAACGATTGTTTTGGCAGGTCCCTTGAATTTCCATATGAATTATAGGATCAGCTTCTCAATTTCTGCAAATAAGCCAGCTAGAATTTCGATGAGGATTGCACTAAATCTGTAGATCAATGTGGGAATTATTGCCACCTAATGTCTTTCCACTTAGGTTTTCTTTATGCGTTTTCAACCATGTTTTCGTAGTAGAAGTTTCAGAATAGAAGTAGAAGTCTTGTACTTCTTTTGCATCAAAGAAGAAATTTGTGAGATCAATTTCTATGGAGTGACGAGGGCAGCCATTGAAGGTGGCAAGTTGAGGGGGGCTAGTGAGAACAGACGAGTCGTTGAAGATGCTGGGTGGGCCACAAAGCAGGAGGCCGGGATGTGTGGGTGGGAGAGCTGACCTGGGGTCCTGGTGGGCTGGAGATGGAGACCCCATGGAGGTAAGGCACACTTGCATGGCCTAAGCCCACCCCCAGTGGTGGTGCAGTCCCTGCCCTTTTTGAGACAGGCGATGATGTTACTACCTGCACGTCCTGAAATGGCAAGAACTCCTGAAATTAATTAGCCTATTTGGATAACGAATGTTGATCCTGGGCTGCATCCAGAATGACATCTTTGCTGATGGCAAAGTGCGGGCCCGCTAGTAAGGGACAAAAATAAAAGGTGTGTTCATTCAACCAGCAGCTTCCCTGCACGCAGGCCACCCCTGTTCCAGTTCAGAGCTGCCTGTTCTGCACGAGACCTGCACGCTCATCCATCAGGCCAGCAAATGTCCTCGTGATCACCTGGCAGCCTCCACGACTGCTGCCCTGACTGCTGGGCCTGGCAGCCCCTCACAACTGTATTACTGTGGGCAATTCAAATTAGTGGCTAGCATCCACGCAGCAATTCCAATTTGCTTTTCTGCAGTTAGCTCCACAAAACAGCCGCCACAGCCAGCCCCAACAAAGCATGTCGTCCCCTGGCGGAGGCCCAGTTGTGATGTCAGGGAAGGCCTGCTAGACGAAGTAACAAAGGGTAATGGTGCAGAACATGCAGGAGCAGACTGCCCGACTCTTCTTTACCACCTCCTCGGAGGGAGAGGCTGCCTGCGGCTAGGTGCTCTCAGAAAGGCAGAGGGGAGGGGCGAGGCGCCGTCCAGGCAGGTGTCAGTAGGGGCTGTTAGAAAAGGGGGCGGGGTTAGGGGTGATCGGATTCTTTGAAATTCTAGCTGCTTCCTGGTGATGAGGACAGTGGAGGGAGAGGAGTGTGGTAGCAGTCTGAGGAGTCCTGGGGTGGCGCACCTTGTTTTCCAAGACCAGAGTCCTGAAGGCAGTTTTCAGATGAGGTTTAGAGAGGACCGAGGGATTGAGGAGGATGAGCGGGGGGGACCAGGGTGTAGTGTAAGCACACCGCAGGGCTGGCCTTGTGGGCAGAAGGGGAAGCCGCGGTAAGTGCAGCATCTTCCAGCTTGAGCAGTAGGCAGGTGGGAGAAGCTCGTGGTCCCTGCACGAGACAGAATCCGGCCCCACCTCGAGCTGGCTGGGCCTGCCTGGAGCTTTTGTCCTCCTCTGTAACTAGAGGAAACAATACCTCCTTCCTGGGGCTGCTCGGAGTTTCCCTGACTTAAGTACTGAGCCTGGGAGAAGGAGCCCGCTGTGGCCAGGGCCTTCCTCTTTCTGCCCGCAGCAGCCCCCACCTATGCAGGCTCCATGCCCAGGGGCCACGCCAGCCTGGCCTTCTCGGCTGCCTCGTTGCCTATCCCTGGATGATCTCTGCATTTTTCCATGGGAGGGGACCTCAGTCAAAGGTAGAGGCATTGGAGGGTGGATTTTCAGGGGCGTATTCCTAGAACCCCTAAAATCCAGCAGGCAGCTCCTGGCCAGGTCAGCCCTGCTGTTTGCACTGTGGCTGGAGCTGGCCGCACCTCCCGGCCTGAAGGTTTCTTTGCAGTGGCGTCTTTGCTAAACCCCAGGGTCCTTAAGATCAGCCGGGCCTTTGTGACAGGGACGGGCAGGCGGGTTCCCAGGAGGCTGAGGGATGCAATGAGTTGGTTGTGAAGCCTCCAGGCCGCGAACACAGCTGCCATCCTGGGGCCATCGCGTCACAATGTGGGGCTCCCAGGTCCCGGCCCTGGTGCCTGAGGAGCTTGGGTTGAACTCAGTGCAGGAAGGCGGGAACACCACGACCTTGCTGTCTACCGGGCAGACCTAGTGAGGCAGCTCTGAGTAGGTGGGCTGGTGGAGCCCCGAGTTCTGTGCCAATCAGGCAGGCACTGCACCGGTCTGCCCCCAGGCTCCCCCTGTTAAAACTGGCCCAGGCTACGGGGTGGGGTGTGGGCGCCTCCTACACAAATCGACGAATATTGGCCCACAGCCGGAGGTGGCCCAGCCTCCCAGCTGGCCTTCTGGGACCCACCAGCCTGAATTCCCTGGGATTCGTCTCAGAGCATGGCTGACAGTCTGCAGCCCAGGGACAGACAGTGGACTCTTCCGGCAGAAGTGACGAGTCAACGTCGGATTAATGCACCCTGCGTCATCCAAGGCCCTCGTGTGTCACAGGAATAATAGCCTGCCGGCAGTTGTGGGCGTCAGGGTGGTGCCGGGAGAGGATCTCGGCGCTGGCAGCCAGAGGGCTGATTCGGGGAGGGCGTGGAGATCCGTATCCGTCTCCACGGCCGCAGTCTCCTCCGGTGCCAGCCTCCCGCCCCTTCACATCAGCCCCCTCTTTTGAGGTGTCCACTGAACCAGTATTTCACTCCCCGCTGGCTCTCCTTCCAGGGCCACTTTCAGCCTGTTCCCGGGGCTCCTCTGGCTTTCTTATAAAGGAACGTGCCACCCTCCTGCCACTCTGCGGGACGCAGTGCGAGTGAGCAGCCAGCTGTAGTTGTTGATGGCAGACCGACAGCTGCAGAGATTCATGGGAAAGCGCACACGAGGGAGGCCTCATGCACTCGAGGTTTCTCCAGAAACCTCTCCAGAGCTAGAACCTTTCAATTTGAGAGTTAAGGGATTGAAGGCTCAGAGAGGTTAAGTTACTTGATCAAGGACACACAGCCTGCTAAGTTGAATAACGGGCTTGAACTCCAGGCCAGTGTCTCCCCACTGCCTACGCTGACGTCCCTGTCCATAAATGTGCCAGATTTTCGATGACATCAGGTATGTGACACCCTGGGTTAAACTCTTCCCCGCGTTTCTCTTTAGATTTCTGGTCTAGTTCGTAGAAATCCCTGCCATCAGCTTTGCTCATACCTACACTGCGGACCTTTTTTCTTCTTCCTCAATGTGGAAGCTTTGCCAGCAGAGGGCGCTAACTACTAATTCCCAGATTAAATAATAAATGAGTCCTTTTTTAAGAGTTTCTGAAATGACAGGGCAATCAAGGCTCATTTGGGGAAGAAAAGATTGAGCTTTCGTTCTTTATCCAAATCATCTCTACCTGCTAAAAGTGATGTATAATACATAAGATCAAAGTGATTAAAGTCCTTATGAATTTAATCAGAAACTCGCAGTTAACCACTATTTGCTTTGGTGCAAATTGGTGTGGAATAACAATCGTGTGAATCTGCACATTTTTTTTTAACTTGTGGGAAATTTGCTGCTGACTTGCGGGGGAAGTGGGGGGAGGGGGCATTGACAGGAGAGAAAAGAAGGAAGGAAACAATTGGACCAGGCTCCTGGAGGCCCCCAGGGCTCTGCACTTAGCAGCTCTGCCGAGGGCTTTGTTCGCAAATCTCAGGCCTTGTGCTATGTATTTATTATGAACAATAGGAAACCCTAATAATAACTCCCGGACCTCTGAATCCTGTGTTTGGGTTGGGACTCTCCCTCCACCTTCTTCCACACTCTGTCATTTCTTCTAAATTAGGCCTCATAAAACCCGACCACTGGATCCTTGCGCACACAGGCAGGAGCTCAGGGCAGAGAGACCACTGTGGGGGGAGTTAAGAGCCCCGGCGTTTCCTTCCTCCCTCGAAAAAGCAAGACCTCCTTGAGAAGTTGAGTGGTCCTGGGGAAAGGGCCCCCGTGGAGGAACGAAAAGGCCGAGTAAGACAGGATGTGGAAGCCCTCACCAGCTTCTCGGCGAGGGGGACCTTTCTGTAGAAGGTTTTCTCGGTGTCTTCGATCCACACCACAGAGGGCTGGAGCTGCCGGGCCACCTGCGGGGCAGAAAGGAGGGTTTTGTTTAGAAACGCGTGTCCTTCGTGGGGGTGCATTTAATCTCCTGAGACACAGTAGGACTCCAGGGCTCCTGTGAGGGTCCTGCAGCAGGGCCTGGGCGGTGCTCGGGCACCACACCCATCCAGGCTCCAAGGCACGCGACCATGTTACTGCGTTTTTGTAGCTCAGAACCTGCCCTGAGCTACCTTCTGCCTCCCTGCAGGACAGGGACGGCTGGGGTCCTCTCTCCTGGGCGGCTTGTCCTGATGGGTAGATGCCCTTGGGCACACACACTCTCGAGGACCCCGAGCCCCGACTGGGTTAGGCTTCAAATAAGCCAGGAGTTTTCTGCTGCAAATGAAGAGGGAGCTGGGCTGCGAGTTTTAATTACAGCCTCCTCGCCGGTCAGGGTTATTCACGTTTGCTTACCACGAGGAGCGCGTTTCAGCGCGAGCCCCTGGGATGCCATTTGTCTGCCTCGTTGGCTGTGCCTTTGTGGCCGAGCTGCACCTGGGAGGCGGCTCTATGCCCCTCCAGGGCGAGCAGGGTTTCGCGACAGAGCTGGGATGGGGCGTACCGTGGGCCCCTGAATAATTGCCACACACCTAACAATCTCTTCAAAGCACCCCCTTGCCAGCCAAGTTCAGGTATTTTTGCAACAATTTGTGCTTTGTGCAAAATTGTCGCAGATAAAAGCGCGAATAGTGTTATTATGTACTCCTATTTTTGTATTTCTTAAAACACCATGAAGGCAGCAGGTATGATTTTAAACCAAGACAGTCATTCAATGGTGATGGGGACATCACTGGGGACACCGTGGTGCTGTCTGTCCCGGCATTATGTACCGAGTGCCAAGTCGGAGCTAGAAAGCAGATTATCCGCCTTCAAAGACAGAAGTGGGTGTTGATTGAACTCGGTCCTCGTGCTGCATCGCCTGGGCTCCTGCATTCAGGCCGCCACACGAGGACGTTCTGAGAACTGGACTGCGTCCGCCACACATCGGAGGGTAGGTGTGATTTTTAGACTCAGAGCCACACAGTGCAAGAATCCAGAGTCCTAACTGGTTTTTCTTTTTCTTTTCTAGAGGGCATGTGCGCTTGCCAGAGAGAGACAGAGACAGGGAGAGAAATCATTCTCTCTTCCCAACAAGGCGTGGCGATGCTGCAATCCCTTCTCTTCCCTTCCTCCTAGCTTCCTGGGACTTGGGGCCCACACCCCGCCCCACGCACCTGGTGTTTTTCAAGCTGTGGGGCTGGGACTCAAACTGTGGTCAGCGCCTGGGATTCAGTTCCCGTAGCCATGAAGCCACAGGGCTACCCTAAAAACCCTCAGTGTGACCCTGGCTCCCGAGGCAGGTGGCGTGATGACAACGTGTGCCAGCTGTTAAGGAGCCAGCAGGCGTGTGCGAGGCACCGGCACACACAGAGTACAGGGATCATGCGTGCTCAGAGCAGCACACGCTGGCCTCCCTCCTCCCTGTGACCACGCACTTGTCCTCCCCGCAGAATCTGGGGCCAAATCGGACTCTTCACTGACTTAGATCGCTGGGGAAAAGAATTCCATGGGACGTGGCAGCAATGGATCTAAACAGGTCCCGTGCCTGCCTGCCCACGCGGTGGGCGTTCCTCCCACTTGCGGCACACCTGTCTCTCCCGCTGCCTGGCTGGATGGTTTCCAGTGGCTTCCCAGCTGTAGGCGATGCTGCCAGGCTCGAAACCCCAGCCTTGAACCCACTGATGGGAGACGAGCTCGAGGCCAGGCCACTCTGCTCCCGAGCGGTCAGCGATAAGATCGAGATGCTGCGAGCCAGCGACCCTCTGGCCTCCTCTCCTCCTCAGCCACAATTGTCACGGAGCACGATCAGCTCCGTCAGGTCAGCGCAGCCTCAGTTACGGTCTCCAGGAGTCCACAGGGAAGTCGTGTGTGGCTTGTGGATGGAAAGGGGTGTCTGAGATGGACATTCCAAGGTCCCCGACAAAGCCCAGGCAGGAGACATGCAGGACAGCGGGGCTCGCCTGGAGTCTGGGACTCGGAGCTGCTCAGAAGTCAGGCAGTCTGTGTGGACTGCAGCTGGACGCCCGGCCCCGTCTACACAGCACAGGCAGGGCGCCGGAGCGTGGTCCTGCCTTGGGTTACCCCCACCGTAAACCACAGAAGTGACGCCCCAGGCAGAGCAGCAGTACCAGGGCGCGTGTGACAGCACGAGCTGGGAACTGAGAGAGAAGAGACGTCCACCCGCAGACAGAGGCGGGCGAGTGAGGAGGGCGGGGCCGGCCCACAGAAGGGAGCGACCTTTCTCCCTCATTTCACAGTCCTCACCAGGCTGGCTGGGCGCCTCGGGCAAGCGTGTCCCTGGCCCCTCCCTGAAGGCACTGCTGCCAGTGGGTGCTGTCCTAGCACTGGCAGTCCTTTCTTTTGGTTAAAGAATTAGTTTAATTTTATGCATTATTATTTTAAATTTGCCATAGGGCAACTGCATTTACCAGATAGAGAAAGAGAGGGAGAGAGAAAGAGAGAAAATGAGGAAGCAAGCTGCCAGGTTAGGCCACCAGGAGTCCAGCGCCTCGACCACCACGCCACCTGCTGGACTGGCAAATTTCAAAGCTTCCCAGGATGGGGGCCATCAGGTGGCATAGTGGTTAAGGTGCTGGACTCCCACATGATGGTTCAAGTCCTGGACCCGGTGACTTCAAACTCATGCTAGGTGTGTATGCATGTGCGCCCCAAATCCTGAGAGGAGAGTGGAGGAGGAGGAGCTGCGGTGTGGCCATCCCCGCGGGGGGTAATTTCTCACTTTCTGTCTCTCTGGCGAGCACACATGCCCTAGAGCAAAAATCTCTCTCTTAAAACAGTAGCCAAGGTCAGAGCCTCAGTCCCATGTGCAGGTGCTCCGTGTCACCTGGACACACACAGCGGGGCCCAGTGGTGGGGTCTCCGGGTCGCTGTCCTGCTCTCTCCTCCCAGTGCAGCCTCACCCGCTCCTGTGCCATCCATGAGCTTCTGAGAGTTGGTGACGCCCATATCCGCGCCTGGGCCTCCGGGCCATGTCCTCCTGAGTTCATATCCTATGTGGTGCCTGCCCCCTGCTGCACCCCACACCTAACAGTCCCCACGGCACCCCTCGTCCCCGCCAGCTCCGTCCACTCTCCCGTTCTCTCGGGCCCTTCGTGGGGCCTGAGCACACACTGCAGTCAGAGAGCTCGCTGCGGGGCTGTGGCAGGCAGGCCCCCAGAAGCCATTGGCCACTGGGGGTTACTGGGAGTCTCAGTTCAAGTTTCCCCTCCAGCCTCGAAGTAAGATGTGTAATATGCTGAAAGGGTCGGGCCTTCCTAGAAAAAGGATAATTTATAACACCAAGGCAAAATCTCCCATTTTCAGTTTCTCTTAAAATTTGTCATTTGAAATGAAACCAATGGGAAACCAGCTTGCAGGTGAAGCGTGGTCTCCTGCCCTGGGCTAAACCATGCACCCTCCCAGGTGTCGGGCCTGGCTCTCCACGCCCACTTGGCAAACTCGAGCTCTCCATGGCTGCTGCTGGTGCAGCTCTCATCTCCCCACCCAGCGCTTAGTGGGGCTGCGGTGGACGCCAGGTACTTCAGCGTTCGCTTAGCATCTTCCTTTTCCCTTCCTGCTGTTCACAGAGTGGTGCCACAGACAGCTGGAGTACAGGGGTCTCAGCTCGGTGGGAGAACTTCCAGACCAGCTCCCATCGGAGCACCTGGTTCCAAGCGCTTTGAAGATGCAGTTGCGCCATTGCATGGAAGGAACGTGGACTTCTGCGATGGTGCCTTGAACACATGTGCTGTTAGACGTGTGTGTGTGTGTGTGTGTGTGTGTGTGTGTGTGTTTTCACATGTGGGGTAGTATGCAACTCGAATGGGAGAGAAGGGATCGTGGTGTGGCCATCCCTCCAGGGGG